ACACACCCACACCCACACATACACACACTTAAACATACCCCGCCCTTGGAACTACATGTACTCATTATCTCTACAAAAGGGATTTCGACCACACACACAAACACCAGAATGTAAAAGAACACAACACACTCTTCTGACCACTGACCCCTGACCCCTGACCCCTGACCCCTGACCCCTGACCACTGACCTGAAAGCGGCCTTGAGCACAAACAGCTCGAGGGAGGCCGACTGGAACAAGAGCTCCTGGTCTTCTTTATGTAGGTCACTGAAGCCTGGGATCTTCTCGGCCCAGCTCCGGAGAACATCCATGCTCTGCAGCAAGATGGTGTAGAAGCCTTTGATGTTGGCTTCACGTCCGCCGGATGGGTCATCTGTCTTGGACAACTGGAACTGGGGACGGGACGGTTGGTGGGGGTGTTTGTTTTAGTAAGATTGAGGACAAGCGAGAGCAACCTACTTGGGGAACCTGAACGAAAGGGTAACAGGGAAAGACCAGGGAAACGTAGCTTTTTTAAGAGCATCCGATTTAAGGAAGGAATGGAGAACCATGATCGCCAATGTCTATCACAAATCTGGCACTGGATGATGATGATGATGACGGCGGTAGCAGCTGCATACGTTTATATAAGCACCAAGGGGTGGATGTCAACAGAGAATTCCAAACGGGGAATTAGGCTTACTTTGCTCATCTCTCTAGTCTCAACAGCACAAAGTCTGCTTCAGCTATCAAGGCACCCCGGAAAAAGCAGTTCACAAGAGAGTGGCAAGTATACTTACGAAGTAGAGATAAAAATTATAACAATAGTAAGGATGAGGAAAGAAAAAGCAGCAGTTCTCCCTATGCTGGTCTGGCACAGTATGAGCATGACATTGATAAATCAACCCATTTACAATTCCACTGTGCATAAGAACATGTTAATGTCCCCCCTTTGGGAATGGCCTAAAGACAATTCAGTCAGTAGCACTGCCCTGGGGTGGGTGGGGGTGGGGTGTGTGGATGGGTTACTACAAAGAACAGAGAATTGTTTGTATTCTACAGTGCAGAATTATACAGTCGAACTTGTTTGAACAGCCACCCGTATAAGATAATCACCTGTACAAACGGCCAGTTCCCTGATAGACAGACCGACAGACAGATAGACATAGACAGATAGACAGACAGGCAGACAGACAGACAGACCGACAGACAGACAGACAGACAGACAGACAGACAGACAGACAGACAGACAGACAGACAAACAGCCTGGTTGACCGATTGATATACACATAGCCAACATGTTTACGTATAATGTGATGTTCGCACATCTATGAAAATAGATCGTGCGCAAAATCGCACAAGGTAGGTGGTTGGTGCGTACTCTTGTGTAGTTTGCTCCTTCTTTTCTAGCAAACGTCCATCGTCCTTATCTCTCCTCCTCTTTCTTTGTACGCTACAGTAGTGACACTCCTAATCTTCGGCACTTATTTGATAACGTAGATGTGTTGCAAGTGCCGTAAAACTCCTACAAAAAACTAAAACCTGCTGAAGGAAACGGTGACGTCATGACTCACCTGGCTGTAGTCCAGGTTGGGGATGTCTGGACAGGTGTCCACGTGTGCCCTGACCAGGGCGGTGATCAGACTGACCGGTGGAGAGGGCGGGGACTCCTGTGGAGATTTGGGCTTGGACGGGAGACGTCCGCGCCTACCCTTGAGGCCGTCGGTTCTGACCACTGGAGGGAGAGAGAGAGTGAGGG